AGGCTCTGTAGGCAGCCAAGCTGATTATATAAATACTTCCAGCAATTCCTTTTCACCAGGTGTAATTTGTAATGTCAGCAACATCTGTCCCTAGAAGGCAGAGCTGTCCTCTCTGAACAGCTTCATGAGTAGTTCTGCAACTGTCTTGTATATGACTGCATTAATCCTAATATGCTGGGCGTAGAATGAATGTACTTAGATAAAAGAATTTCACATCTTCCCAGCATCAAACACCAAGCAGTGATAACCTAAAAAATAACAATAACAACAAAACAACAAGAAGTTCTACTGATACTTTTCCAATTTATCACAATTTATCACCAGATTGAGGTAGCAAAACCAAAGCAGAAATATATGCATAGATGAATTAAGGAGTTTTAGAAAGTTTCTGAATACATAATTGTGCCAATACTATTTCTTTCATTCATATTTGAATATTGAAAATAGCTGGATTGATTATTAAATCTAAAAAAATGTCATTAATAACATAGATGTAATATTTTCTATTGTAAATTAATGTTTTATTCTGTACTCCCTGAAAAGTTAAACTAGTTCATTTAGCAATGTGACTAGAAATTGTTAATAAATATTTAGCAATTTCTTTTTTCTTTCAGAAGTATACTGAAAACTCTTTTTTATTATTTATTTTTTAATATTAGTTACAATTTATTAACTTTGTATCCCTACTGTATCCTGCTCCCTCATTCCCTCCCAATCCCATTCTCCCTCCCTCATCTCCTCCCTGCCCCTTTCCAAGTCCACTGATAGGGGAGGACCTTCTCCCCACTCATCTGACCCTGGTTTATCAGGTATCTTCAAGACTGGCTGCAAAGTTCTTCTCTGTGGCTTAGTAGGGGCCGCTCCTCCCTCGGGGGGAGGGGAGGTCAAAGAGCCAGCCATTGAGCTCATGTCAGATATTGTCCCTGTTCCCCTTAATAGGGTATCCACTTGGATACTGAGCTACCATGGGCTACATCCAAGCAGAGGTAATAGGTTATATAAATACATGGTCCTTGGTTGGAAAAACAGTCTCATAAAAGACCCCTGTGCCCAGTTATATTTGGTCCTTGTGAAGCTCTTGTCCTCTCCCTTCTTTCTTATGATTCCCTGAACTCTGCCCAAGGTTTGGTTATGGGTCTTAGTATCTGCTTTGATACACTGCTAGGCAGAGTCTTTCAGAGGCCCTCTGTGGTAGGCTCCTGTCCTGTTGCTTGTTTTCTCCTACATCCAATGTCCATCACATTTGTCTTTCTAAGTGAGGATTGATCATCTTACTCCCGGTCCTCTTTCTTGTTTATCTCCTTTAGGGGTATAGATTTCAGTATGTTTATCCTATCTTATAGGTCTATATAAGTAAGTATATACCATGTGTGTCTTTCTGCTTTCGAGATACCTCACTCGGGATGATCGTTTCTTGAAAGACAATAACTGTCCTTTATTTCTGAATACCCTACATAGAAGTCTAGAAATAGGTCAAATATAACATCAAGTGTAGTGCTTATTATCATTTGAATGTTGTTCTAAATTAAGGAGACACATTTCCTAAAAGTTAATAACTGTTAACTAGAAAACCTCCAATTAAGTAGTTGGATACCAATTTCTCCGTGGGTTAAAGATTGCAGGACATTTAAACAAACTTAGATTAATCAAGAATGAACACAAGGGCTGGATCTGATTCAGTCTTCCCCATCTTGACAGGCCCACACCCCTCAGTTGTGTCCATACAGACACAAAACAGTTTGAAACGGAAATAAGAGAGTATTCAATTTCAGACCCAGTTTTTTATATGAAAAGCTATGCTGACTCAAATGCTAGCAGCACCTCAAATATTCCCCTGGTTCACATGTACGTTCTCTCAGGTGAGACAGAGCGGAGTAATTCTGTCAAGAGGTAGCTGCTTCAGGCCCAGAATATCCTGTTGGGATGGAGCACTGCCCCACTTGCACTGCATCTTCTGTCTTTTCAGAACAACATGCAGCTTGCCTGAGGAGGTTAGGTCACTCACCTCAGCAACCAAAAGGTACAAATTGTGTTTTCCTTCCAATTCTACAGCAACCATTGCAGCCATTAAAAAAGAATTACCCATGATAAAACAAATGAAAATATTTGTCACTCTAATTGCATTTAATGGACTATATTTTGAGCACTTTTAGGTTTGCAGCAAATCAAGTGGAAATACAGAGAGCTTCTATACTTCGCACTCCCATGTGCGAATAAGCCCACATGAACTGCTTCTTGTATATGTTGCCTGGGTCGTGTTTTATCACAGCAGTAGAAAAGTATAGTAGTGCTGGGAGCAATGTGAATAAGAGATTCTAAAAAGAAACAATATTAAGCCAACTCTATGATGTTCCGGCATATAATCAAGATACCTTCTACTGTTGTCTTAAAAACTGAGGCTATCTGAAAGACGCTACCTAGCAGTGTATCAAAGCAGATATTAAGACTCATAACCATTCCCTGGGCAGAGTGCAGGGAATCATATGAAAGAAGGAGGAGTCAGTTAGACCTGGAGAGGACAGGAGCTCCACAAGGACCAAATATATCAGGGCACAGGGATCTTTCATGAGACTGTTTCACCAACCAAGGACCATGTATGGATATAACCTAGAACCTCTACTCGGATATAGTCCATGGTAGCTCAGTATCCAAGTGGGTTCTTTAGTAAGGGGAACAGGGACTATTTCTGGCATGAACTCAATGGCTGGCTCTTTGATCCCAGCGCCCCTACCCCAAGGGAGGAACAGTCTTGCTAGGCCACAGAAGAGGACGTTGCAGCCAGTCCTGAAGACCTGAAGAGACCTGATAAGATAGGGTCAGATGGAAGGGGAGGAGGTCTTCCCCTATCAGTGGACTTGGAAATGAGCAGGGAGGAGATGAGAGAGGGAGAGTGGGATTGGGAGGGAATGGGGGGGGGGCTACGGCTGAGATACAAAGTAAATAACCTGTGATTAATATTAAAAAATTGATTGCAAATATTTATGTAGACAATGAATTTTACCATGAAGGACTTCCTTTTTAAACTTAAGTTTATATGTTCAGAGCAACAAGTAACAGTGATATTTTGGTCATTACCATTTCTTTTCTCTTTGATGTTTATTTTGCTTGTTTAATTATAAGTTATAAGTGGAATATTAAAAAAAACTGAGGCTACACTTAACAGTAATGCACTTCTTTCTTTGACAGAGGAAATTTTAAGACAGTATAATGTTGAATGTGTGGATGGTTCTTATTAATGACTCACATAGATCTATAATGAAAATGAGCAAGTAGAGCAGAAGGAAAAAAGCGTAAATGTAGAGCTTGAAGTGAAAAGAACAATAGAAAACAAAATGCAGCAACTGGGACTTGTGCTGAAAGAAATGGAGTATTACTCTTGTTAAGAAAACACCTTTTTCCACTGTATGCTTTTGGCTCTTTTGTCAAAAATCAAGTGTCCCAGGTATGTGGGTTTATTTCTGGGATGTCTATTCGATTCCATTGATCAACCAGTCTATTTCTTCCATGCCAGTACCATGCAGTTTTTATTACTGGTGCTCTGTAGTATAACTTGAAGTCAGGGATAGAGATACCTCTAGAAGTTGTTTGATTGTATAGGATTGTTTTAGCTATTCTGGGTTTTTTGGTTTTCCATATGAAGTTGAAAATTGTTCTTTCGAGATTTGTAAAGAACTTTGTTGGTATTTTGATGGGGATTGCATTGAATCTGTGAATGGACTGGACCTAAGCTCCTTACAGAGATGTAGCAGATGGGCTGCTTAGGCTTCATGTGGGTTCCCTAGTAAGGTAGTAAAGGAAGTGGGGACTGCATTGGACAAGAACTGACTTGATAGCTTTTTGATCAATTCCTCCTGGAAGGACTGATTTACCAGGCCACAGAGGGAGAGGATATGCTTGGTCCTGATGATGAGCAAATTTGATGAGCTGGGGAAGATTTGAAGGGTAGCTCTCTTTTTCTGAGGAATAGGCAAGAGGAAGAAGGGAGTAGTACTGGAGTGGAGGAGGGATGGGGCTACAAGCAGGAAGTAAAGTAAAGTAATACATACATACATACATACATACATACATACATACATACATACATACATACATAAATGAGAGATCTTTTATTCTGCACTTGATCAAGAGCAATGGTGCTGGAACTGACCCAAACTTCTAACTTGTGAAGGAGCCTAAGGCATTATTTCTTGTTCTTAGAAAGTGACTGAATAAAGATACTGCCACTAATGTAATTCAGTGGGCAAGAGCAATCCAAAACTAGTAGCCAAACAAGACAGTGCCATCCATATGGTGTTGACTTTAGAAGCATGAAGTATGAAAGAGTGAAGTGATTATGAATTCATTCTCTGAGGTTTCAGCAAACCACTGAAGCCAGGTAGTGTGTCCCGGGAATTCTTGCATGAAGGTTTTGGTAAGTCAAAAGGCCATTGAATGAAGTTGTGAAAGTGGAGACTCCATGATGATGAAGATGCTAGAGCTACCAAAGACTGCTACATATAGGAAGCAGAACCAACATGAAGGAGATATATGTTGCAGGGAGAAAATCTGGAGGGATAAGAGACATCAAAACCCTTTGACATTGGATTGTTGCCTTGTTGGATTTTGGTCATGTTTTGATATTTCCTCACTATTCCCCCATGTTTTTCCTTTGAAATAATAATGTATATTCTGTGCTATGTCAATGCAATATTCTGAAAATACCTCTTACATTCTAAGAGACTGAAACATTTGCTGAGTCTCACAACCAAAGTCAATAATAGACATTGAGACTGCTGTTCTGTTGTTTGTTTGTTTTTTCTTATTTACTTTTTATTCATAATCATAAACTTAACTCTGCAATCCAACTAGACTTGGAGAGGAATGAGGAAAATATGGAACCCAAAGAACTTCAGTGAGAGCAGAGATCACAGGGCACTTTGAGCAAATGGGATGGGGTGCTCTCCTGAGCTACAGAAGGAATGGCCTGGTGGGTAAGATGCCCTCGAGTCAAGAGAATTAGTTTAGAGTTGTCTACAGTCAGAAATTGTGATTATCTTGCTGGTCTTGCCATTCCTGGACACAAAATGCTCCATGGCTTCCACAATGTTTATGCCGTCTTTCACCTTCCCAAAAACCACACACTTGCCATCCAGCCACTCAGTCTTGGCAGTTCATATAAAAAACTGGGAACATTTGTGTTTGCTCCAGCATTTGCCATGGACAAGATGCCAGGACCTGTATGCTTCAGGATGAAGTTCTCATCCTCAAATTTCTCCCCAAAGATGGACCTGCTGCCAGGGCCATTATGGCATGTGAAGTCACCACCCTGGCACATGAATCCTGGAATAATTCTGTGAAAGGAGGAACCCTTATATCCAAAAACATGGAACACTTCACAAATTCTGGTGTTTGTTTAGCCTGCCTCTAAGAGAACAATGTAGTAAAGAACCTTAGTTGCCTTCAATTCCCCATGTAATCAACATTTACAACCTAAGGCAATGTATAGCTGTGGTCTTAAATTACTGATGACTGAAAGTTAATCACTAATAAATTTAATCCACACACTTATAGATTCATGCAGGTTGTGAGGGTATTAGTAAATGATCTAAGGTGTGTGAAACATAGGAATTATGGATGATCCATAATGATTTTAAAAATTTAGCTTCTAAGTTTATCACTCTAAAGTTAAAACTCTACTAAAATCAGTAGAGTTCTCAGAAGAAATTTACATACTCTTTGTAACCGTTAAACACACAGGATACAAAATCTGTAGAAAAACAAAAAGGAATGAGCCAGCCACTGAGTTCATGTCAGAGACATCCCTGTTCCCCTTACTAGGGTACCCACTTGGAGACTAAGCTGCCATGGGCTACAACTGAGCAGGGGTTTTAGGTCCTTTCCAGCATGGTCCTCGGTTGGAGTATCAGTCTCAGAAAAGATTCCTGGGCCCAGATATTTTTGGTTCTGTTGCTCTCCTTGTAGAACTCCAGTCCCCTCCAGGTCTTTCTATCTCTGCTTTCTTTCATAAGATTCCCTGCACTCTGCCCAAAGTTTGGCTATGAGTATCTGCTTTAATACACTGCTGGGTAGAGTTTTTCAGAGGCTCTCTGTGGTAGGCTCCTGTCCTGTTCCCTGCCCTCTCCCTCTTCCAATGTCTGTCCATTTGCCTTTCTGAGAATTGATCATCTTACCCAAGGGCCTCCTTCTTGCTTAGCTTCTTTAGGTGTACAGATTTTAGTATGATTTTCCTATATTATATCTCTAATATCCACTCATAAGTGAGTATATACCATGGGTGCATTTCTGCTTCTGGGATATCTCACTCAAGATGATCTTTTCTAGATCCCACCATTTGCCTATAAATTTAATGATTTCCTTGTTTATAATTGCTGAGTAGTATTCTATTATGTAAATGTACCACAATTTCTGTATCCATTCCTCAGTTGAGTGACATCTGGGTTGTTTCCAGATTCTGGCTATTACGATTAAAGCTGATTGAGCAAATGTCCTTGTTGTATACTTGACTCTAGCTCTGTTACCAGCTACAACTGAAATTTTCTCCTCATTCTTCTGGGCTTATATGTGCCTTATTCATTTTTTAAACTTATGTTCATGTTTGTGTGTGGATATGTGTACCTGAGTAAGGGTGCTGAAGGAGGCCAGTGAGGGGATTGGATCCTCTGGAACTAGAATTATAGACAGTTTTGAGTTACCTAACCTGGATGCTGGGACTCAAACTTGACGCTCTGCAAGAACTATACATGATTAACTGCTGAGCCATCTTTCCAGCCCCAAATTGAGACTATTTCATTGGAGGTAACACAAGAGGCCCCACAGGAGATTTCATAGGTCCCCTCTATGTCTTTTCATGAGGTATGCCTCAGACTCAACCTGGCTGGGTTTTTTTTTTTTTCACTAGTTTGCATGGCATATGTGCATATAGTGCTACTCTGAGGAGATAAGCCACTCCTTCTGTCATGAACCAGTGGTAAATTTTAGTTTGGAACGGGTTTGTTTAGTTGAGTGTTGTTGACTTGGAAAGTTTATTTTAGAATAAACCCATCCACTAGTCTTCTTTTTACATACACACATATATACATACACACACGCATACATACATACACACATACATACATTTATTTCTATATATGAGTGTTTGCTTGCCGGTATGTCTGGACCACCACATGCATGCCTGATGCCCCTGGTGGCCAGAAGTGAGTATTGGATCCCTTGGAACTGGAGCTACAGGAGGTTTTAGTTGTATGAGTGTTAGGCATTGAACCCGGATCCTCTGCAAGGGCAGCAAGTACTCTTGAGTCCTCTTTCTAGGCTCCCTTTTCACCACTTTTAAAGCACTTTGTTTTCTTTCCTTTCTCTTCTGGTCTCCTTTGTTTACCTTTCCTCTTCTACCTTCTACTTTCCCCTCTTTTTTTCCCTGCTATGTACTCAGGATGGCCTTGAACTCTCCTTTTATTGATTTTTACAAGTTATTTATTTTATATCCCGATTGTAACCCCTTCCCTCATTTCCTCTAAGTCCCACCCTCCCTCCATTTTTCTTCCTATCCTCTTTCCCTAGTCTACTGAAATTCGGAGTTCTCCCTTGCTACCTGACTCCAGCTTATCAAGTCTCATCAGGGCTGCCTGGATCCTCTTCCTCTGTGGCCTGGCAAGGCCACATCACCAGGAGCAAGTGATCAAAGAGCAGACAACTGAGCTCATGACAGAAACAGCTCATGCTCCCCTTACTCAGGTACCCACATGGAAACTGAATTGCCTATGGGCTACATCTGAGCAGGGGCTCTAGGTCCTCTCCATGCATGGTCCTTGGTTGGTACAACAGTCTCTGCAGGGTCCCCTGGGCTCATCTTTTTTCTTTTTCTTTTCTTTTCTTTTTTTTTTTTTTTTTTTTTAGTTTTGTTGGTCTTTTTTGATAGATTTAACATATTTTAATTAAATTTTTATTTTTTATATTAATTACAGTTTATTCACCTTGTATCCCCCCTGTATCCCTCCCTCATTCCCTCCCAATCCTACCCTCCCTCCCTCATCTCCACCCATTCACCTCTCCAAGTCCACTGGTCCATCTCCCCTTCATTGACCCTAGCTTATCAGGTCTCATCAGGACTGGCTGCAATGCCCTCCTCTGTGGCTGCTCCTCCCTCAGGGAGGGGGTTTGGTCAAAGAGCCTGCCACTGAGTTCATGTCAGAGATAGTCCCTGTTCCCCTTACTAGGGTATCCACTTGGATACTGAGCTACCATGCACTATATCTGAGTAGAGGTTCTAGGTTATATCCATGCATGGTCCTTGGTTGGATAAACAGTCTCAGAAAAGACCCCTGTGCCCAGATATTTTGGTTCTGTCTTCTTAAGGAGCTGCTGTCCCTGCTGGGTCCTCCTATTCCATCCCTCTTCTATAAGACTACCTGTGCACTGCCCAAAGTTTGGTTGAGAGTCTCAGCATCTGCTTTGATCTCTTGCTAGGTAGAACCTTTCAGAGGATATCTATGGCAGGCTCCAGTCCTGTTCCCTTTCTTCCATCACTACTGGTGCCTATCCTGTTTGCCATTCTGAATATTTAAGCATCCTCCCTAGGGTCCTCCTTGTCGTTTAGCTTCTTTAAGTCTGTAGGTTTTAGTTTAGTTATCCTGTATTATATGGCTAATATCCACTTACAAGTGAGTATATACCTTGCATGTCTTTCTGTTTCTGGGTTACCTCACTCAGGATGATCTTTTCTAGATCCATCCATTTGCCTGCAAATTTCATGGTTTCCTTGTTTTTAATAGCTGAGTAGTATTCTATTGGGTAAATGTGCCACAATTTCTGTATCCATTCCTCAGTTGAGGGCCATCTAGGTTCTTTCCAGATTCTGGCCATTGCAAATAAAAGTGCTATGAACATAGCTGATGTCCGTGTTCAATGATGGAGCGTCTTTTCGGTATATGCCCAGGAGTAGCGTATATCTGAGTGGCTGAATCTTGAGATAACACTATGCCCAATTTTCTGAGAAAGCACCATATTTATTTCCTAAGTGGTTGTACAAGTTTGCACTCTCATAGTACTTAAATTCTTACCTAGAGCAATAAGACAACTAAAGGAGATCAAGGGTATTCAAATCAGAAAAGAAGACAAAGTATACATGAGTGACCGCCAAAATTCTGCCAGGGAATAGCTGATAAACACTTGACACAAAATTAACTTAAAAAAAATCAGTAGCCCTCCTACAGACAAATAGGCTGAGAAAAATTAGGGGAAAAACACTCTTCACAATAGCTGCAAAAAACATAAAACATCTTGGTGTAGCTCTAACCAAGCAAGTGAAAGACTTGTAAGAAAAAATAATTCTTGAGCACCTTTTGGATATATGCCTAGGAGTGGTATAGCTGGATCTTGAAGAAGCACTATTCCTGATTGTCTAAAGAAGCACCAGATTGATTTCCAAAGTGGTTGTACAAGTTTGTAGCAGCTTTATTTGTAATGGCCAGAAGCTGGAAACAACCCAGATGCCCCTCAGTTGAGGAATGGATACAGAAATTGTGGTACATCTACACAATGGAATATTACACAGCAATAAAAACAAAACAAAACAAGGAAATCATGAAATTTGCAGGCAAATGGTGAGAACTGGAAAAGATCATCCTGAGTAAGGTATCCCTCCCTTAGCAGTGGACTTGGAATAGGACAAGGAAGAGATGAGGGAGGGAGGGTGCGATTAGGAGAGAATGAGGGAGGGGCCTAAGGCTGGGATACAAAGTAAGTAACCTGTGATTAATATTTAAAAAAATAAACTTAAATTTGTTTTGAAAAAAAGACACAGGGTATATACTCACTCATAAGTGGATATTAGGCATGTAATATAGGATAAACATATTAAAATCTGTACACCTAAAGAAACTAATCAAGGAGGAGGATGCTGGATAAGATGCTCAATCCTCATTCAGAAAGGCAAAGAGGATGGACATCAGAAGAGGGAGAAAACAGGGAACAGGAAAGGAGCTTGAAACAGAGGGCCTCTGAAAGGCTCTATCCTGCAGGGTATCAAAGCAGATGCTAAGACTTACACCCAAACTTTGGACAGAGTGCAGGAAATCTTATGAAAGAAGGGGGAGATAGTAAGACCTGGCGAGGACAGGAGCTCCACAAGGAGAGCAATAGAACTAAAAAATCTGGGCAAAGGAGTCTTTTCTGAGACTGATACTCTACCCAAGGACCATTCATGGAGATAACCTAGAACCCCTGCAAAGATGTAACCCATGGCAGATCAGTGTCTAAGTGGGTTCCATAGTAATGGGAACAGGGACTGTCTCTGACATGAAGTGATTGGCCTGCTCTTTGATCACCTCCCCATGAGGGGGAAGCAGCCTTACTAGG